ATGATTGAAAATCGGTTAGATTTAATTTATTCTTATAATTGATTCTGAAGTCAAGATTGAGCAAAAGTAAAAATGAAAAATGAGGAGAAAATGGCAAATATTCATTGATGATATTACGAAAAAACAAGAAAAATACAAGTCTGGTTTCAATTTTCTGCTTTTTGCATTTGCATTGTAGGGTTTGGAAACTGAATTGTGAAGCTTTACATGGACCTTCATCACTCAATTAAATCCATTACTGTGCTGAAAAGGAAAAAAGGCAACACAGCAAGTGAAGGAAATCTTATTTCTTAATGTTATTATGCACAAGTATACTGAATCTAAGTAAACTGCAAATATTCAAGTGTTTCTTCTTGCTGTAAATGTAGGCTACTAAACAGTCTGCTTAAATATAATGGTTTAGGAAGTGTTCTGTTAATTACTAAACTATAATTACTCAAACTAAAAACAATACAAAAACTTAAATCAAAGCTGCCTGAAATCTAAAAAATAAAACAAATAATTTAATATAAATACAACTCATTTGAAAATGCTAAACTTTAATAATGTTGGTTAACACAGGATCAGATGCATTATATGATCAAATTATATATCATTATATAGAATATGTCCGACTTCTCCTGTAGCATGGCACAAGTTCTGACAGGTTCAGGGCTTGTCATCATCTTACGATAGCAATCCTGATAAAGATTTAAATTGTCAATTGAGGAAACTTTTATGTCATAACCGTTGTGTATAAACCTGCCCAATCTGCTTACTAATGAGGACTTAGAAACAATTGAAATATATTTATCTGCTCTTCTTTCACTGGGAAAGAAAAAAAGAAAGTATATAGGATATTGACTTAGTGGAACAGATCTCTATCTTATGGTTTTCACTGCCATCCCTTCAGTGGACAGTAGAACAGAGATTTTTTTATCCCAAACAGATGGAGAGGAGAATTTTTTATTAAGGCAAGGAGCTCGTAGTTCCCATGTACCATCAGTGCTGACCACCATGCCAGAGTTCCAGTGCAGAGTTTGCATTGGATGATGCCAGATAAGATGGTAGTGATTAAGCTTGTTGGCATGACCCTACGCCAACAACTTGGCATCCCTTCCAGCACTGTAAGTTCTTTACTCATTCAAACCAGCATGCATTTTGAGCATCCTGCAGTTATATTCTCATGGTAGATGTAAAGGTAATGGAAACAACTTAACAACCAGCCCCCCTGTTGTAAAAATGAATCAAATTAGTTGTGTGTTCTTCTCTTTCCTGCTGGACAGTGATGATTGGCCCTCCATGTGGATTATTTTAAGAATTGCCATCCTTCGTGGATGCATCCCTCCCCCTTTTATTTCCTGAAGGACTTGGAAAACATATGCAGATTTAAACAGTTCCTTCCACTTTCCATTGAATGATTGTACTTGGGGAACTTGTGGAGACATCCAAAAAGTCCACTGCAGCTTATTAAGGGTGGCTTGTGAAAACAAATACACAGAAAACATGAAGATAAGACTTTTGAACATAGATTCACTGGGCTTGATTAAAGTTGTTCTTAGTATGTCCTCAAATAAATATTTGAACATTTCGGCAGTGTGATACAAAAATTATGTTTCATGGTTTCTAGACATGACTCAAAGAGAAGATGGTTCAACTGAGTATTAAAATATAAGCATAAAAAAATAAATATTTAAAGATAATATATATATATATATATATACAGTGGGTACGGAAAGTATTCTATATATTTAAACTTTACAATAATGTTTCATCAGTTACTGCACTAGCTAACATAAACCAACAATGAACAATGTGTTATAGCCTTTATTAATTTGTATTAATGTCATTAAACTTCAATTTGAAAAACTTTTTAGTAAATGTTAAAAATAACTTAAGCATTATTCATTGTTAGTTCATTTTAAATAAAGTTGACAAACCTTATTGTGAAGTGCTACTATATATTAAAAATTGTAATTTTGCTCCATCATCCAGACGCACCGGCTCTGCAAGTGGATGGGAGAGTACACTAATCTTCAGTGTTTAGATAAGAAAGGACACCATGTGCAGGACTCTAGTGCCGCTTTGCTTGGTGGGGTTATCCTCCTTTATGCCAAAACAGGCTGTGTTTTTCAGGGAAAGCAGGAATCCTTCACCTCTGGAAGGGAAAAGCCCATCTCTTTCTTACTGTTCACCTGATGTTATTCCACTTCTGTAGAACCTGCTGAGATACTAGCTTCAAAGAGATCACCACTGAGGTTAAGCAGCAAGCTCTTAAGAAGTGTTGACAAGTGGAAAATTAAGAGTGTTTTTGTTATTACCTGCTGTTCAGTCTCGCTATTTATTTCTGTGGTATATTCAATTTTAACCATGCATTTTGTGCCTTAGTTCAGATTTCTGTTTCATGAATGCTGAAACACCTCCCAGATGTCTAAGAAGCTTTAAACTCTGACTGTTTAAACGCTTTGAATTGGTTACTTTTAGTAAGGTGATTGTGTAAGGAATAAATGACCATTTAAAAATTATTGCACACTCTATGTCTAGCTGACATTCATTTATCTGACATAATTTTCAGTACTTCAATGACCCAGACTCAATAATTCTGCAAAACATTCTAAAGACCAGTTCAAAAGACTCACACAAGGCTGTTTCTATGCAGTTACTAGATAAAGAGAGAGAGAGAGAGAGAGAGAGAGAGAGAGGGAGAGAGAGAGAGAGAGAGAGAGCAATGCTAGATGAAGAGAGAGACTATATGGAGTCAGTATAATTCTCAATATAAATATATTCATGATCCAGAAATGTGTAACCTAATCCACATTTACAAATTTAAGTGAATACTTTCACAAAATATACCACATTATGATAAAGAGACTCAAATCATTGCTTCTGATTTCATAGCTGGGCCTGTTATGTTTGGTTGAATTAAACAACAACAACAACAGCACACATTTGGTTTGCTAGAGGAGCATAATTGTAAAACAGACATGAAAAAACACAAACAAATCCAAGGTGAGCAGCACATATATAACAATTTGAAAATGCAGATTCATCAATCAATTAGCAAATGTAAAAAACAAACAAACAAACCTGCAAGTTTTGGGCCGTTGGGATCCATATATAGCACCTGTCGCAGTATTTCAATCACTAAAAACAGCGGGACATTCTAAAACACTTGATGTGAAAAATGATTAACATGCTCTCCAGGTGGACGTTCCTACAAGAGTGTGACATTACGTGAAAACTATGAATACTAGTGGGTGAATATATATGTATGAATAACCTGTTATACTAATAATCATGAATAAAAGGTAAGCATAATAAGATCACTTTTTGACAAATTTTAAAATGTTTTGTGTCCTATCATCAGGTGAGGTGCAGGACTCTTTGGACATTGGTCTGACTAAGGTTCCTCCCATAAGGAAGCCCACCAAAGACAATCTATGGAAGGAGAGTGCTGTCCATCAACACCGTCAGCAGCTGAAGACCAAGATGAAGTACAATAAAGTTGAGGATCCTAAAGCGCCGTATGCCAAACAGGTAGGTGATTCAAATAAAAATAAAATCAATAAAATTGTTTTAATCTTCTCTCTGATGTTTGAGTGTCTTTGTGTGGAATTGCTCACGTTGAATTGCAGAGACAAGTTTACATTTTGCCTACAGTGTATATTTTTTTGTATATAACTCATTTATGCATTCTAATGTTGTAAGCTGTATGTAAAGTCTAAATCTTCCATAGCTATTCCAAACCCAGACAAAACACATTGTTCCAATTGGCCTATGATTAATAATTGTCTCTGGAGCTTATTTATCTGGGCCTTGACCACAATACAGTGATCAGTCTGCAGACTTCAAATGCACAGTAACATGCAAAGCATTTTTTTTTCAGGCTCCGTACACACAACAAATGCTTTGCAGGTTGTACTCTCAGGTCCTTTTACCTTAAATAAATACCCACAAATCAAGCATTCTGCATTAGTTCAGGTAGGCCTCGTAGTCAAGATCGCTATCAGCTGACATCAGCTGATTAAAAAAATTCAACCCAGCCCTTATCAACTGATCCGATTCCGATGCACTCATTGGCAAATCTCAAACAGTGTGCCTTTCTTAAATGCAGCTTCAGTAGCATGCTTGGCTGCTTCCACTGCATGCTGCTTTGTAACCCACCCCCTCCTTTAACTTGTGTTTAACTTAATGTCATTCTGTTGTCATTGTTGCCTGCTAGGGGGGATTTGGTAAATGGCAAATATGACAACATTAAGAACATAGCAATCTGACCACCATTTACATTCACACATGTATTTTATATATTTTAGAGCCAGTGTCAGCAGGAGCTTGACCAGGCGCTGGAAAGGATTGTAAAAATACCCTTCAGAGATAACAGGGGCCCCCTGGAGGACCTTTATTCCCTGCACATACCCAACTGTGACAAGAGGGGGCAGTACAACCTAAAACAGGTATTTAATTCCCCATTCAGCAGCAAAAAGTTCAAAGCAACACATTTTTGTAGATTTGCCATATCTGGGCAGACATTAAATAATTTTTGGAAAGTTTACATGTTTCACAGGGTGACTTCCTATAATCGATGTAAACCTATTTTAATAAGCACTGTGGTAATTCTTTAATAAGTATTTAATATTAAATAATACAGTGCAGGCAGCTTTTAACAGCTAATATTAATTGAGACTACATGGCATATTTATACCCCTTTAAAATTAATTTATCACATGGCAGGATCATTTACTATAACCTTGCAAAGATTAAAAACAGAAAGAAAGAAAGAAAGAAAGAAAGAGTTACTTTTACATTAATATCAATTTAATAATCCTCCAAACAAATCGGGATGAGCTTATTTATCTAATTGTTTTATTTAATCTTGTCAGCCTAGCTCTGCTTACCTCACTCCGGTGACAGTTCATCCCTCCTTCTCCCTATCTCATTTCTCCCATCTCCTTCTCATCTCCATCTCATCTCATCTCCATCTCCATCTCCATCTCATCTCATCTCATCTCATCTCATCTCATCTCATCTCATCTCTCTCATCTCATCTCATCTCATCTCTCTCATCTCATCTCATCTCATCTCTCTCATCTCATCTCATCTCATCTCTCTCATCTCATCTCATCTCATCTCTCTCATCTCATCTCATCTCATCTCTCTCATCTCATCTCATCTCATCTCTCTCATCTCATCTCATCTCATCTCTCTCATCTCATCTCATCTCATCTCTCTCATCTCATCTCATCTCATCTCTCTCATCTCATCTCATCTCATCTCTCTCATCTCATCTCATCTCATCTCTCTCATCTCATCTCATCTCATCTCTCTCATCTCATCTCATCTCATCTCTCTCATCTCATCTCATCTCATCTCTCTCATCTCATCTCATCTCATATCTCTCATCTCATATCTCTCCTCTCCTCTCCTCTCCTCTCATCTCATCTCACATCTCATCTCTCTCATCTCTCATCTCATGATCCTTTATTTATTGTCACACCACATTTGATTCATTTAATGTGGAGAATTTATCCTGCTCATCAATAGAAACCATTTAAATGTATGCATTTACCAGAAACTTTTAATCAAAGTGACTTATAATACATTTAAGGCATAAATCTTATCATTTTATGCATTCTGAAATTAAACCCATGATCTTGGCATTACTAATGCCATGTTTTACTTTTAACTTTACAGGAATACAAACAAATAGATATCTTAAAGGAATATTAAAGGAATATGGTAATGTCATTCAGTCATTCATTCATTAATTCAAAGTCCTTCTCTGATTTTATTATTGTTTGCAATGTTGCAACGTTACTTTGCAATATTTGAAATATTTTTTGGTATTTTGCATGGTCTGTTATTGGAGTAGTGTCAATCGGGTGGGAGTTTTAACTCCTATTCACTGGGAATAAAAAAATAATTTAGCAGAATCTGCAGAGACATATAGACCGCGGGAATCCCGTAACGTAACTACGTTAAACTACGATAAACTTGAAACGATAGAAGAAGGATTGGAGATGAATTTCATTTACAAATAAGGTAGGCAATGTGCATACTTTTAAATCGACACCTGCCACGGTGATTCTTAGCTATTTGTTCACTGTGATCCCCTTTGAGTGTCCTAAAAGTCGATGGGGGTTTCTTATCATTCAGCATACCCGGTTAAAAAAGTCACCGCTCGCCACTGATATATACTGTATATATATATATAAGAAAGCAATATTTTCCTCATTAAAATCATGGTAATATGCATATTATTTACATCAACAAAACATGTTACACATCTTCAGTATTTTAGTATTCCCATTCATTGTATGAGCTTTTTAAAAGAAAATACTTTTTAAAAATATGTTGGTAATCAACATTCTGCTACAAATACTGTCGATTAAAGTTAAAGTACTTCTTAAAGTTGTACAAATCTTTAAAATGTTAATTTTAGTTCTAAAAACTTATTTTGACTATTGTGTGTGTTTCAGTGTAAGATGTCAGTGAATGGACATCGTGGTGAATGCTGGTGTGTGAATCCACACACAGGAAGACCCATCCTCAACTCTCCACTGATAAGGGGTGATCCCAACTGCAGCCAGTACCTTGATGCCCTAGAGATGGATCCCTCTGTGGAGCCTGAAAACTAATGATGTCCTGAACCTTCTCATCCCTCCCCATCTTGACCTTCAAGCCTACAATCTCACACCCATGCCCCTAAAGGAGTCAGTGTTTTACACTCTCTAAACAAGCTACCTATACAACTTGTGTGTTTATACATGTTTGCGCTTCTAGGTTTGAGATGGTTTGAAACAGTATTGTTACAGTAAAAGTACTGATATAACTGAGCTTATAGTACTCATTAAATCCAAGCTAAGTGATGACATATGACCAGAGGACTGATATTAGCAGGCTTGTACTACTACTTTTCTGTAGGAAAATGTCTAGAATTGTAAACTTATCTTTAATACTTTCACATGTATCTAGTGCTAATCATGATATATACATTGTATTTCTCTCATGATGTTACTGGTGCTATTTGTTTCAATACACTTCTTTTATAGGTTGCCCCCTCTCATATTGTGCAGGAAATTATATGGTAATGGTTTTTATTGGATAGGACAGTGTTCCTAACACTCAGTGTGACAAACACTGAAGCACTACACTGTAAGTCGATGAGCTAGTGCCTTATACCTTGAATGATTTACAGAAATAAATTATATTGGACTGCTTATGAGGTCTTAAAATCTTTTGGTTTAAAAAACCAAAAAAACAAAATAATAATAATAATGTATGCTAACAAAAGTTGTTCATTTAATCTTCTGTTAAAGGTACAATATGTAAGATTTTTTTATTAAAATATCCAAAAACCACTAGAACAGTGTTATATATTTTGCTTACTTGTTTACTTACATTATCCCAAATGTTTCGATGAATGTTTAAATCCAGAGAAATAAGCAATTTTAACTAGTGACACAGACCGTGTCCATAGTGTCATTGTGTCGCCTGCCAATGATGTCATACATCCTCGACTTAAGGTTTTGTTTGTAGAAAACATGGAAACACCAAAGACGCTTTATTATGTTGTGCGTTTTATTAGACAGGTGACGACTGCACAGAGTAGCACTATAACAGAACTTTCAAATGTATCTAGTATGATAAAACAGCGCTGCTTTACCCCACATGCGCACGACCGGAAGGAGCGGAAGTGCTAAAGTGTGGCATTCGAGCCATGTGTCACTCTTGTTTCTCATTAGCAATTGCTTCAGCGGCCTCGTTTCGCTTCGATGGCTTTCTGCCTCACTCTGCTTCATACTACGATGTTAAAGAGGTCATCGGATTCAAAATTCACTTTACATGTTGTTTGAACATAAATGTGTGTTGGAAGTGTGTGTACACATCCACCCTATAATGGTAAAAATCCACTGTGTTTTTAAAAAAAATCCCTATTTTAAAATCCCCTTTCTCAAATCAGGGTGTTCTGAGAGTCCTGTCAGAATGACGTAGTTCTGCACAGGCCCCTCCCACTATAGCTGATTGACAAGGCCGTCTTACCTTAGACCCGCCCTGGGTGAGCTGTGAGCTGTCCGCCATTGTTTCGACCCCAGTGCAGGGGTCGAAACAAGAATGACAAGAATGTCTCAGATTAAGCGATTGAGGTGTTTTGTTGTTGGATGTAATAATGAACATAGCAGTCTTCATTTACTCCCGACATCTGAGCCGCTGAAGATGCAGAGGAATAACGTTCCTTTCGTTTTTGAAGGGAATGATTCCCCGATCTACCTTAATGTGTCTATGTTCATGCAAATCATTGGTGATCCAGCTTCACCTGCAGATGAAGCGAGTATAAGGGTTTTTTTATGAATCTTTGCAAATAGCCTTTCCTAATAATGTGCTGCTAGTTAGCAAGTTTCACAGCTAAATGCGGCTAAAGTTTACAGTCTGCTCTTCACCCCACCGAAGAGAGGGGCGGGGTGAGCAGAGCTCATTAGCATTTAAAGCAGCATGCAAGGAAATGTCTTGATATGAACAGAGCTGATTTTGACAAGGTAAATAGGGTGTTTTTTACACTACCATTGAGAAATTTTAACCAAAGTATGTTATAGACTTTTCATTAAGACCCTAAAGAATCATATCAACTTGGGGGAAATGGGCATCCGATGACCCCTTTAATAAATCTTTAATACATTAGCTCATCCATGAACATGATTTCTGCCTGAGTCCCGTTGGAGTGCGTCGGCTGTGGTGATGAAGATGACAGCTCCCATGACTCCACACTCATGTCATCAAACTACGCCTTTGTTTCTTTGTTTGTTTTGAATACGCGCCCTCTAGCGGCGAGCGGCGACATATTGTACCTTTAATGCATCAGGAGTATTAAAAACATTTTTAGTACTAGGAATACGTAGTTTGTACTAATGCAGTTGATGTTCCGTTCCAATTGCATGTAACTACTGACATCTGGTGGTCACACAAAGGAAGCGAAAACATAATTATAATGCTGCATAAAAAGTCAATGAAGATGTTCAATAGATTTAATAAAGAGAGCCATTCACTAACTATTTTAACTTAACATTGTGATTTACTTTCTGTTAGGTGTCATTGTCACTTGGTATTTTGGACCCGATGTTTTACGTGTACACGAATAAAGAAGTATTTCCAGGTATTATTTGCAGCTTTGTTTTTTTTCCAAGTGACAAAAGTCATAGGTGTCTTCAAATCATTCATGAAGGCAGAACAAACACATTACCTAAACCTTAAATATATACAGTATATATACTGTATATATATATATATATATATATATAGGG